GGAGAATGACAGACTTGCCAAGTTCCGAACATGGTCTAGTTCTTCTTGAAATTTCAGTAACTTTTGTTCGAGCTGAGCGGCACTTTCTTTGGATACCTGAACACCCTGAGGAACCTCTACCCTTTCGGCTGAGTCGTCCTTACTGATGTTGTTCACGTTCTCCATCTTTGCTTTGTTCTTGATTTTGATAGGACTTGGAGGAGGAGGAGGTGGAGGGCCCTTAGATCTTGTGGAGTAGGATGACGATGCCAGAATGCACGAACTAACCTTTTAGGGAGGGGAATAAAATGATGAACAATCAAGGGCAAATCCTGCAAATATGGGCACAGGAGAGCAGAGTACTCAAAATTCCGGAAACTCAATTGCAGGATTGGACTACAATCATCCACTTTTCTTGTCACCAGCCGATGTAAGTGGAATTCAAATAATTTCTTTTCAATTGACAGGGATTGAAAACTATTCAATCTGGAATAGGTCTATGAGAGTAGCATTGCTAGGAAGAAACAAATTAGGCATGGTCGATGGGACATGCATGAAAGAAAATTTTCCAATAACCATGGGAAATCACTGGGAGAGAGTTAATGCAATTTTTCTATCTTGGATAATGAATTCTGTGGCTAAGGGGCTGTTAGGAGGAATTATGTATGCTTCTAGTGCTCAAGCTGTTTGGGAAGATTTATTAGAAAGGTTTAATAAATTGATGGNTAGTTTCTGATGAACCTTATGATTGGATTATAGATACTGAAGCTACAAATCACATGGTTTCTGATATTAACATGTTAGATAAATCCTCAATAACTGAGATTGAAAAACCAAAAAAAGTCTTCTTACTAAATGGTGATATAACACAAGTCACACACATAGGTGCAAGTTCCTTATCAGACGAGAATACAATTTTTAATTTATTTCATGTGCCACAATTCAAATTTAATCTATTATCTGTGTCTAAGGCTACTAAGGAACTAAAATGTTCAGCAACCTTTTTCCCTAATTTTTGCTTCTTCCAAGATCTCTTCACTGGGAAGGTGAGGGAGATTGGTAAGGAAGAAGATGGGCTCTACATCTTACTAAGACAAATAATGGAGAAGAATAAAAGGATTGCATTAGCAGCCTCAGAAGTTGGAAACCTAAACAAGCAGCTAAATGTGGATCTGTGGCATAAAAGACTTGGTCACATGTCTACTATAGGATTACAGAAAAATTTTACATGTTAGCTTACCATTCATTAGAGAAAAGATCAGCAAATGCACTGTATGTTCTTGTGCTAAACAAACTAGACTGCTTTTTCATTCTAGTAGCATTAAAAGTACCTATTATTTTTACATGATACATACAGACCTGTGGGGACCTTACAAAGTGAATACATTTGATGGTAATAGATATTTTCTTACAATAGTTGATGATTACTCAAGAATGACTTGGATATTTCTACTTAAACAGAAATCTGCTGTGTTTCTTTCTTTACAGCATTTCCTTACTTATGTTAAAAATCAATTTGATAAGACAGTAAAAATTATAAGAACTGATAATGGCACAGAATTTATGAACTCAATGTGTGATAATCTGTTCAAGAACTTAGGGATTATTTATCACAGGACTTGTGTTTATACCTCTCAGCAAAATGGAGTAGCTGAGAGGAAACATAGATATATACTTGAAGTAACCAGGGATATTAGATTTCAAGCTCAAATTCCAATCAAATACTGGGGTCATTGTGTGTTAGCAGCAGTATATTTGATAAATAGGATGCCTAGTTCAGTCATAGGTAACATGACACCTTATGAAAAATTATACCAGAAGAAACCTTCTCTAGAACATCTTAGGGTGTTAGGTTGCTTATGCTTTACAAAGGTTGTGCAGGAACATGATAAACTTATGCCAAGAGCTAATAAAGTTGTTCATATGGGATACTCAGAGGTCCAAAAAGGATACATTTTATCTGATATTGCTAATCAGTCTTTCTTTGTTAGCAGAGATGTGACATTTAGGGAAGACATATTCCCTTTCAGTTATAGAAACAAAACTACAGCACAGTCCTTATTTGTAGATCCTACTCTGCATACAGGGATAACACTAGATGTTATACCTGAGATTAGTCTTACAAATAACCTTTCAAACACTATGGTTCAACAATAAAATCAAGACTTTGAAGTAGCAGAAACAGATACAAACCATATACCTTCACCAATCACAGATGTTCAGTTACACTTAGAACAAACCATGACAGATCAACAAATACCTCAGCAGACTCAACCCCAACAAATGATTGTCAGAAAATCAACAATAGACAAAAATCCACCTATATGGATGAAAGACTTTGTATCACTGAATATTCACAGAGATGAACCTTATGCAATAAACAAATATCTAGGATATGATCAACTATCACCCAAATATCAATCCTATATGAGTGTGTTTTCTTCTGTTATTGAGCCTG